TAAAATAAATAAATAAAAATGAGTATGTTGGCAATACCTATTCCATCAAACACTAGGCCGGGATCTGGCCTCCTGGTGTCCACTACAAAACCATCACTGCTTCTGAGCGTGTGCAGACCAGCTTTGTTGAATGCCCGTACATTGCTGAAGTACCGCACTCCACTCTGTAGGTCCAGGCTGGTAAACTCAGTGGAAGTTGCATCAGCTGGAAAGCTGTGATCAGCAAACTGACGGATATCTTCACCTGAAAAAGTAATATTCAAATAATGTTGTGATAGGGGTTTTTGTAGGGTTCCCTCAGCCTCAGGCTATTAGTTGTGCACTGACAATGCAGTGATGAATTTCATCCTGGACACCTGGTGCGTGTACTCATACACATCCTTGAGAGGCACCTGGTTGTAGTGTACTCACCTACAGGATAGTCTGAGCATCACCTGGTTGAGAGTGTACTCACCTCCAAGATAGTCTGACCATCACCTGGTAGTGAGTGTACTCACCTCCTGGATGGGTGCTGAGTGCCACCTGGTACTAAGTGTACTCACCTACCAGATAGTCTGAGTGCAACCTTGTAGTGAGTGTACTCACCTCCTGGATGGGTGCTGAGTGACACCAGGTAGTGGGACATTGCATGGTCTGAAAACATTCCCTCCCAAGAAATGAAGCTGACAGATGTCAAGTAATCTGTGTCTGTCCTGGCATCAGCTGCAGGGAGGTCCTTTACCTGAAACAAAACATTTACACAAAATGAAAGTTGAAACTGTAAAAACATTTTTTGTGCAGAAATACACTTCTCTTCGTACACACACATACCTCAATTTCATATGACCATTCGCATTTACAAGACTCACCTTCATGCTTCTTATAGTCGAGACTTTTGGCGGTGTAACGTCGGGGACAATGCCATCTGACTTGAACACAGCATATATATTGGCATCGTACCAGGCTCGAACAAATATGTGATATGTGACTCCCTGCAGGAGCTTGTGCTCTAATGATGAAGAATGTACCCGAACAATGCAAAAGAAACCAATAAAATGATAAACATAAATTGAATTACAAATGAGCGAAGTCATATAGGGTTATGGAGGCATAACCTGCTTGTCTGCACTCCATTCCAAGTGCGCAATGTTTTATATTCATTTAGGTAAAGAAAAAGGCAACAACTAATAAAGAAAAGAGAGAAATCGATTTTAACATTCACTGGCAAAGACTCATGGGAAGGTAAAGATGAAAATGAGACCAAAGACATCTAAAACAATCCTGAGTTACCTTGAGTTACAGTGATAACCATGTCCAAACTTGACAACATGAGAAAGATAATTACCAGAACAAAGAAGGCAACAAACAAGGTGAACATTATGATCATGAACTGGTCAATGACAAAGATACATATGGAATTCGTGAGAAAATTAAAGACAAATAAAATGACACCAATTAAAATAAAGGTAATAAAATGTCAGTGACAATTCTATATTGAATTTGAACATCTCTTCCTCCACTGTGCTGGAAGTCTTTCATGTTTGAGATCTGTTGTCTTTTTCACAATCTTTTAAATATTGTTGTCACATTTTATCCCATGAATATTTCGTTAAGTAATGTTGATTTTTCATTGGCCTGACACCTCATAATAATTGAGAGTGCTATCCTGGTTAGCAACCTCTGGCTGGTGCGTAGGTATAAAATGCCGACATGCAGGCAGCTCGGCCTCTTCCTTTTGTTTGCCATCTGCAATACATACTGGACTGTCCTCTGCAGTGTACATTAATATTACACCGGTATCAGTGGCATAGCTAGGATTTTACTAGTGGGGGGCACAAGGGGGCACCAGCATCTTATGGAGGGCACCAGCTTTTAGTGGTATAGTTTTGGGGGCAAGTTTTAGTTGGCCTTGTTCAACATCCATATTCATCTGTTCGTTTTCGACCAGCATCAGCAATCAACTAGTTAAGTTGCATCCAGACCTAGCCCGCCTATGTGACCTCAGTAGAGCACCAGCAGCCTGAGAGCCGTTACCACCATTCATTGCATGAGCGTATTACCGGCATTTGGAGTATTGTCACTAGTGATCAATTATATTAGCCAGTGCGCAGCTTTACTTTAAATTACTTTACTTTAAATTGCTACAACTGTCAACAGCCAACACCACAGCCAATTTCAACCAAACTCAGCCATATCATCTTGGTATGTTATGCACTCTGATTAGGGTTAAAGGTCACCTAGTAGTAAGTTGCGGTCATTTTACCAAAATTTTAAGAAGCTGCTTCTACCACAGTTTTCATCTGATAAAGCCAAAGTTGTTATCTTTGGCTCATGGTCACCTTGTGGTGGCTAGCAGTAATTTCACGATCTGTAACATTCTTCAGCGGATTTTAGCCACATTTAGTTAAATGCTTTCTTGTTCGAAGCTCTTGCGGATTTTGGACAGAATTCACTCAGTGAGTAGTGGTCATTTTTTTGGGAAAAAAACAATTTCAACTAAATATTGTCAGTTATAGCCCTTTTCAAGTTTTGCATGAATTGTTTGCAGATTTAAGGCAAAGGTCAGCGAGTGGTCAGTATGTCATTTTCATTAGTCATTATCCGACAAAGTCCAAATTCAGTCATTTTTTGAAGTACTATGATGTGACTGGGGCAACATGTGTTCAGTTAAATCAGTTGGATCTGTCAAATGGAGTGCTTTCATTCTATCTACAACTTGTATGGGCGGCCAAAGTTTGCACAAAATATCACCTTTTGTTTGCGTTTCTATTTTACCTGAAATTTGATCAAAATGGACATCTATCCCATTAATTTTAAATAGGGTTGTATGCATTATTATCTAGTGTTCTGATAGCTGAGTAGGATTTTAAACACTTTGTGAATTATTGCTTTACTTTTGTACTGACAGCCAACTAAAGGTTTAGCAGCTACTTACAGGAAAGCACGGCTGTGACGTCAAAAGAACAGACCCTATAATTATGTACAATTAGTAGACAAAGTCCATTGTTAACCATACGGCACCGACATCCTGTTCTAGTTGTAAGTTATAAGTATTTTACCTATTTAAGATTCACCTTATCCAGAAAAATATGTTGTTAAAAAGAGAGGTGACCTTAATGAATCTGTGCATTTGTTATTGTTTCTGTGCTGAAAATTTCATGCAAAACAAACTCCCTGGTTCAATAACCAGCTCGCCTGTGACCCCTTGGTGTGTGACATCAGCATTTTGGTGCCTGGTGATAGACTGCCTCTCAATGTACTTGTTCCCTGGGTTCCCTTCATCACCTGCTTATTGGGCAAGCCTGAAGCATCGTCATTAGAGAATGCCACAATAATTTCAACTTCTAAAAGAAGATCGTAAATAATAACATCTGCAACTTCTATCATTTCATGCTAACATTAGATTTTACTATATAGCTCCTCAAATATGATCCCTTCAAGCCTGCCTACCCTCATCCAGCACAATGATAGCATTGTCGTCCTGTCCAACATCAAACCATACTCTCTCATTCACTGGATCGAAGACTCCGACTGGTTCAGATGAAGAGTCATCCCCGATGCTCCATTCACACCTGCAAATATATAGAGGGATAAGAAAATGCATATAGGCAGTATGGTTGTTTGAGCTTGCGGTATATACGAGTATGGACACTACGCCGGCAGTCTAAAGTGCATGTGATGGTGGGGAGTCCTTGCAAACTTCTAGGGAACATGTGGCTCTCATTCCAAGAAATAATGGGTAATTAAAAAGGGGTCGCCCAATTTGCCTTTGAATTCAATCATTTTTAGACAGAATTTGAGTGAAATTTGCGTGACGTGTAAATACGACAAATAAGTTAAAAAGTGCACTCTTTCAAAATGACAGTCAAATTGTATTAAATTTGAATTTGCAAAATGTTAAATTATTTGCATATAGATGGAAATGAAAAACACCCTAAATCTGCCTTGTAACTGAGGGCAGCAGCTCTACCAACAGAAAAGTGGACTCAACAACTTCTGTGTATTCCAACTTACCACTTGATATCCAGTCCTTTACGATCAGTGATTCGCCACACTGCAGCCGCTGTGTGTTGGGTTGGGGTGTAGTCTATGTCAGTCACAGCTTCGATATCCTCGTACATGAGATCCAGTACATCCAGCACTTCTATCTCAGTGTTAGGATTATCTAGAAGCGTTGCAAGTTCCAAAATTTTTAAGTGCCACAATCCTAAAAATACCTAACAGCTGGATGTCTCAATTTTTCAAACGGGATTTCAATAAATGTGAAGTATTAATTGACTAATGGTCACTTTACCATTTGTGACTCGCAACCTCACCCTGCTGGAGTGTCTATTGACATTGTTAAATTCGAGACTCATATGAGATACTCTCGCACTAATTTCTGAATCATTTATTTGTGGTATGAAATATCGTTTCAGTTGTTTTTTCTATTTTTCTGCTTTTCACTGCTAAGTTGAATTACATTAGATGCTGAGTACAAGAGGCCTACTTACTGTTGGATACATCGGTGCAAGACTGGTCTGGATTACATGCCCTATCAATGGGTGCACATGCACAATGACCTTCGCAACTTGAAGGTGAACAATGTCGGAGCAGAACGAGAGTGCCCTCATTTGATGAGATCGCAGATATTTCAAAAGCTGAATGATGACGAGAACTTGGTAGCCCAACCTTAGAAAAACCAATAATGACCAACAATGGCCAACATTTAATTTCTTATTAGAACGTTTCATTTGTATGAGCAACCACATGGTATGCCAATACAATTCTAATATAATTTCAACCAACTGTTATTACCAACAAGCTTTGATATTGGTACAAAATCGTTGGTACTGCGTACTGACCAGCAGTAACACCACAAAAATAAAAGAAAATAATCACACATTATTGTGCAGTTATAAAGAGCCAAGACAAAAATTCCCAGATTTGGTATCTCAGGCTTCAAATGTTATTTCTGCCCACTGCAAAACCCGAGAGATTTTGCTAAAAGTGACAACATATAAAGTAACTTGCAATAATCAAAGTTTGACTAAAAGCTATGCTGCGCTTGCAGATAAGATTTCATTTTCAGCTTCCTGTAACAGAATAAAGATTAATCGACAAAATCACAGTAATTTACCCCATTCACAGCCCAGATGGAGACGTAGAGATATGGAGGAGAAATGTCTGCTATGCTGCCCTCTAGAGGTACAATGGCTGTCTGCACAATTCCCTCGTCCAATGGCATGCCGTCATCACTGTGGTTGATTCGGGCTGGTCCATGCTTGGGAGACAAAACGATAATCATTCTAGTGATAACAGAAGGGTATTTGATCTAACAGGTAATGGAAAGTAAGACGGCCTTCAAAACCGATAGAACATAAACAAAAATAAAAGAAAACAAAACTGTGTCAAGGAGATTGAGTAAGCTAGCATGAAGGCAGTCTGCCCATGCCATATGAAAATTTGAAAATGCAACACTAAACCTTATCCGAATAACAGAATAAATCAAAGGAAAAATATATGCATGCTTGAAAATACCACCAACAAACGTTGGAAAACTTAATACTTGCTTTTGGTTTTTGTCTTCAGATTTTGAGCAACCTATTCAATTACAATTCTTAGAGCTATAGTCCTCCAAATTTTAATGTCCGGCAAAAAATCCACAATCTGTTTTTCATATTTCAACAAAGATACCGGAGTGAGCTGCGAGCCACCGTAGGTGCGTCCGACAGAGACAAAGTAGTGGCTGATACCGGAGTGTACATCAGCAAATCCCAACCAGGCCAAAGCTAAGGAACCATTGGAGGTGCTGTTGTCTTCAAGCCATGACATCCAGCCGTGGTGGTGATGGTGGGGAGATGCGGTATTGGTCTGATTTGGTTCTGTTGGATCAATCCAGTCAATATGGTGACGCTCCAAGTTGGCAGCACTTTCTGTGCCCACGGCAAATGTCCCAACAGACGGCGGGCTAAAATCAACCTACAGAAGACGAATGTGACACAATAAACGATAAATAGCCTTATCCTAGCAGAACAAGCTGGGAAAGTGGGGCACTGGCTGAGGCGACAACCCCTATGACAGACGATGGAAAGTACTTTATCAAGTCGCAACAGAGGTACAGTTTGCAAGGGGCACTTGGGGGCCTTTCGTTGTGGAGGGGGCATTCAGTGGCTTCAGTCACACTTAAAACACTGACTGTCAAGCTGATTATAGCCTTCTCTTATTTCTGAGCGGGGGGGTGGCACAAGAGGGGGACAGGCCTTGAGCAGCGGGATGCTCTCCCGTCCCCCACCACTGACTATATCACTCTGATATGGTCTTGTTACAGTCAAATTATTTGTGCAAGGTTACTCAAAAGGTGGGTTTTTTTAATTTTAAATCCTGAAACAAATGTTTTGCTTCGAACACTAACAGTTTCAGGGCCATGATAGGATCCTACATCAATTTTGAGAGTGACAGGTATGTCCGATTCACATTTTTATTTCACAACCTGGTCCTTGCTGAAAGTAAGTAGTGTTTTTAATTGATTTAAAAAGAAGGCAAAAAGAGGGAAAAATTATACCAAAGGTAAAGTTCTAAATAGGAACACAATGATTGGATATGTACGTACTTTGTTGCAGAAGTAATGGAGGCTATCAAGCAAGGTAAATTTTGCACAAAAACAGGGATTTAGTTTGGAAGTGGATATGATGCATGTCATTTACCAACACAGGTTCTGCCTTAGATTCCGTACAGAGACTAGCGAGGTTGCAAGCCACCACGGTTGCGATGTAACGACTTCCTTCGTGTAATGTCAGATTGGTGAAGGTGTGATCAATCTCGCTCCCTGCAATCTGCCATGAAGATAGTAATATCCCTTCAGAACTTCAGAAATAGTTAATTATTGTAATAACATGAAACGCGAGTCTGCAGAAATGTCTTTACTCTTAGTATCACAAAGTCTGAATAGCTATCAGCAACTTTTACCACTGTGTCTGTCTTTGATCATATTACATGTACAAGGTTTAAAAAATTAACTTGTTCATGTCAGGACAAAATCCCATCACAATTGACCAAACTTTGTGCAACTTGAATATTTACCTTCATTGGATGTATGCCAACATCTCCATTATGGTGTGTGCTAACAGATATGTACTGGTCTTTAATGCCACTCTCTGGGTCACGGAACTTCCAGGAAATGTGAATAACATCGCGTAAAACCTACAAGAAAAATATGCAGATCCAACCAAACATTTGAAAATGTAATATTTTTATATAAATAGTATTTCCAATTTCTCCTGCTGACAGAATCTTCTTACCTGGGTATTTTGGACAGCCACCCCCTTACTCTTAGCAGCGGGTGGATCCACCACATCAGGAGGGCTAGAGTCCACACGGAACCCATTAGATGTAGCCTCACTCCACGCACTCACTCGGTTATAGGCGCGCACGGTGATGTAGATATCAGTGTCTACTGGCAGCTGGTCTGACACTGGTAGAAATATAAGAGCACCCTCCGACAGCTCAATGCGTGTAGAGGGGAAAATGTCCGCAGCTCCTGGTGTAGTGCCCGCACGCCATTCGTAGTGGGAGAGACCAGAGTGAGGGTCATGGAAGCCCCACCAATGCGCTTGCAGTCGAAGCCTACAGATCGATGTAAATATCAGTACCAAAAATATGCCTAATGGTTCATCAGCATTGTGTGAATCATTACTAAATTTATAAGTCCTGAAGCATTGAAGATCCATTAATCTGGCACGCTTGATTTTATTCATGTGTGCATTACTTGTGTCCATTAACCTCTGATTCCAAGAGTAACCAAATTCACAATTTGACAAGTTTGTTTGTATCCATCATTTAAAATAAACACCAAAGGCTAAACTTAGCAGTTAAGGACACAAACAAATTTGAAGGAGTGGTGAAACTGAAAAATGAGAAACTCACAATAAAACCCACCGATGGCGGATGCCTGCATTGTGCCAGATGTTTAGCATTAACCGACCCTAGATCTGTTCTGAGACTGTGCTTCAATTATCCATCCATTCAAGAATATCCAGCCATGAACGAGGTTGGGCTGGAATCCCCACTGTACATACACGCAATATTAGCTGCAACATTTTACAAATTGGCTAAATAAAACAGGATGTGGAAGGTTGTAAGACTCTGTATTAGCAGGATTTATAAAACTTCCAATACATTATCCAGGCTAGTGGTGAAATTGCAGAGCCTTAAGGCTCATTCTGACCAAAAAATAAATCATCCCCACACTGGAAGTTTGTAAAAGACAAAAAATACTACAATTACACAAAAGCATAAATTTAGACCCCCCCAACTGTGGTCTTGAACTGTGACATAACCCCCCCACCCCTCCATGATCATGATTTTGACTCCACGTAGGCCTAATGATGATGTCACCTTGAGGACTGGTAGCTGACGTCACCGCCCCCAGCACTGCCATCATAAACCCGCCCTGGCACAGGGGGCGTGTCATCAACCATGACCCCATCAGAGGTCACTGAAGTACAAAGGCCAGCAGCATTACAAGCTGTCACTGTCAAATAGTAGGTCAGACCTGGCACCAGATTCAGGTTTCCCGCATGAACATCTGAGAGGGAAGACACAGTACTCATCAGACGAGTGGCAAAGCTGCAAGGATATTGCACTGCTAGTATACGCTCTGTTCTTTAATCTTATCGGTGATTCAATTATGGATGAAAATGTGTTTCAAATGCAGGGCAGAGACACACACATACAAAATTTAATGAACAATTAACGTCTTTGAAAATTACCAGTCTCTAAGCCCACGTGTTGCTCAGGCACGACATCAGTACACCCTGGACATAACCCGGCCCTCCACGAATACTCAAAGATGGAGCTGTGCGGATCATGAAACCCTTCCCAGAATGCCCAAAGCATGGTTCGATCGTCCTGGAAGTCTCGATCTTTGTGATTGGCTGGCGCATGGGCTGGGTTTCCATCAAAGACATGACCAGCCAATGGGGGGCTAGCATCAACCGTGAAAGCTCCATAACTCTTCAGAGTGATCAGGCCTACTGTATTGATGGCCTAAAAAGGAATTCGACACAACAGAAATGAAAAGTGGAGAATCTGTTTTCGCTATAATCACAGTAATAAAATAAAAACCGAACTTTGCTTGCGGTTTTTACTACTTAAAGAAAGTCAGATACAAGGGCTCTCCTGCAACTTACCTTAACAGAAACAAAATATGAGTGACCTTCCTGAAGGGCCAAAGGTCGTGAAGGGTCACTGATCCCAGTCTCTGTGCTCTCTCTGGTGAAAGGCATGATGTCTGCGTGACCTGGATGTGACCCCACAGCCCACTCAAAATACGCCACACTACTCTCCTTGTCTGAGAATATATCCTTCCAACTGAAATTACATCAAATTTCAGTGATCAATTGAAGTGTGCATATTCAAAGTGCTGACCCTTTATCGGTTTGCATATGGCAAATAATACCGCCAAGCATTTACCACGACAGCATGTTTGATAGGTACTAAATGGTGTCTTTAATTACAAAAAGGTGTTTGCATACAGTATCAATTACTTGATTTGAGATACACTTGGGCTCTGTCATTGACTTGATGAAAGTTATGAGCCACTCCGGTGATGTTACCTCAATTAAAGGGGTCATTATTTGTTAAAAAATCTCAGCATTGTGGAAAGTTTACATACAGTGCGTATCATGCAAAAAGTTAAATTTGAAATAAAGCCGGCCATCAAGCAACCTCGTGGAGACTAACATTTTTGCATGCCAATCAGGACGCTGGATGCGCCACGTGTATTGAAAAATAAAGCATGGCATTCTTTTTGGCTTTTTATGGTCCAAAATGTGTTTAGCGAAATGAACAAACATTGCAAACAATTTGAAATTGTGTTAAACCTTTCGAGTCCGCAGCTAGGATGTTTCCGACATTGTTGTGTGTCAATTGCTTTTGCTTCTGTCTTTAACCTTAACAGTCCTGAATCCTCCAATTTTAATATGATTTTGCACACACCCTAGCTAGGGAGTTAGGGTTAATGGTAAATCCCTCTTTTATCAGCAAGTACATGTCACAATCATTTGGGCATTACTATTTTCCAGAAAACTATATGAATACAAAGTTTACAAATCTCTCTGTCATTATATTTTTGTCTACCTTGCTGACATAGAAGTTGTTGAGCGGATAAAGCTGCCCCCAACGTCCAATGTGTGTTCGCCATTTACGACAGGAGGAGATGCATCAATGGTGACTGGGTCAGCTACCACTTGGGACGACAGGCCAACAAAGTCAGTTGCTGGTGAGAGAATAAATAATGTACAGTCAATATTACATTTAATGGAACTGCTAAGAAGAAATGGACTGCCTTAAAACATTTCAAAACTTGAACAGAATGTCACTTGAAACTTGACTCTGATAGACACAAGACATTATTGTAAACTAAATGCTTTCAATGAACAATTGATCATCCTAAAAAACTTGCACCACAGTCTTGACAAATAGCTTGAGTCCTAGACCATCATAGGCCTAAATTTTGTTCCCCACATTAAAAGCAGTGCATTAAAACTCATCTGCCCTTTCAACTCCAGAACTCCCTCCCACGCATACCTCTCACTGTAGCATAGTATGTGTGTCCATTTTGTAATCTTATGCCATGTACGATAGCACTGTTAGTAATTCCAACCCGGGTGAACTCCTTTACATCACTGCCACCTCGCATCGATCCTGAAATGAAACAAGCCTACGACCATGTGAATAAAGTAAATCAGAGGGTACAAATTAAACAAAAGTAAACACAAAGATTGACTTACAGTTTTTAAGCATTTAGTAAGATTTTAGATTGTGTTGGACAATACAAAACTACTGGGTATCATAAAGTGTATGTTTTAGAAGTGTACAAAATAACTGTTGTTCATACCAATGGCATATTCATAGTATCTGATCCCCGTGTGATGACGTGCCATGCCGTGTTCCTCAATGTCGATAAACGATTCCCAGTGTAGCACTAACTCGGAGGTGGAACTCTTTATGAACAAAACAAGAAAACAAAAGGGTCATGGTCTGAGCAAAATCTAAATGATCCTTTCTGAAAACATGACACACACATACAAAAACTGGCTATTTGCAAAGAATTCTGACTTTACATCAAAAAAGGACATCGGGTATGTAACAATATCCCAGAACTTCCCGACTGACATTTTATTGAATGAGTTCTTTAAAGACAAGGTGGCAACATGTATGTTACTTGATAGTGTTGATGTTGGCTCCTTCCGACCCAAACAGAGCCAGGGGTTGGTGGAGTTGTGTCAATGACAACGCCATCGCTGCAGTTGGACACGGCGGACAGCCGTTCATTCCAACCCTGGTGCTGGAGTGTCACTTCATCGGCATGGATGCAAATGCGATATCGTTTGCCATGTTCAAGGGCTAAATCTGGAACGTTGACGAACTCTTTATCTAGTTATCAAACAAACCCACATAAATCTGAGAGTGAGAGTGGAATAGTTGTACTCAATTTATCTCTCATTGCTGTAGATTTGTCATTTTGCCTCCAGCACTTTTTTAAAGCAATTTCAACCCAAGGGAACATTAAATTAAATTTTCATTCTTCGTACATTTCCACTGCAGCAATACCTTTCCCAAGTCTTTTACTCTCAGGCAATCCTACCTGTATCTCCGCAGGCCTTCACATGAGGGTGGTCGCATGGATACTGCAGACCACTGTCCAAATCTCCAAATTTAGTAGATCCAGTGTCCTCAATGGCTGCCCAGACGTAGGCCCTGTGACGCAGTGTGGGCCAGACGGCCGATAAGGAGGAAGTGGATGAAACATAGTTCTTGTCTGGTTCCGGCCACAACGCATTCTGCTCCAAGTTCACTTTATCTGATAAAAAACAGCAGTCCTCATATTGTGAAAAAACACAACTGTAAAAATAATTTTTGATTTTTGAGTCGTGGACAATTTCTAGTACCATTAACACCAAGAGTTTCTTTACATAGGAAATACCATTATTAAACAAAATAAATATTATTTCTAAAGTATCAAAAACCAGATTTCTAAAAACAGAATTGAATCATTTAAGGGACTTGCAACTGATGCAAATACATGCAAATTGCCAGAGTTCTTCAATTTTCCTTTGTATATCCAGGGGACCTCCATTTATCTATTCAGACCATGAAAGGATTGTGTCCACCAAACACAGTTACTTATGTGTTGTAAGCATATCCCCCAAAAATTAATTTCTTACAACGGTGTTGTGTTGTCTTTTGTTGTCTTGTCTTGTCTTAAGACTCATTGCAACTGAATCTGAAAGATATACTTACGATCTGCATCAATTACAACATGGGGGACGATGAGTGTCATCATTTCATCACAATCTACGATCTCAGTGCTGGCTATGGATGACAGACCAGCCTTGTTGTAGCCCCTGACTGATAACCGATGACAAATATCCAGGTCCAAAAGTCCGCTGTACGATGCAGTGAAATAGGCCTTTTGAGAAGCAAAATAAATATAATAAATTTGTTTTGAATGTTTTAACTTTTAAGGACAACCTGTTAAATGGCTCACACATTTCTTTCGTTCGGATGACATCTTTTTAAGAAAATGGCTATACAAGAAGTCTGTTGTAACTTTGAACTTAACGATGCTGCAAATCTGTGTTACGTTTGCGCATAAAACGGTCATTTGGATTCAAAACATGGAGAATCTTACCACGTTTACAGTTATCACCAAATTCTCAATTTTCGTCCACTGACTCAACAGGGCTCCGTCATTACCATCTTCAGCAATGCTCCACTCATAGAAATCCATCAATTCCTGTGGGTTGTCATGAAGGACGTAATCATGCGCAAAAGGCTGGAAGGCCACGTGGATCTCTGTTCTGCCTTGTGTGGACTCAATGTTGCTGACCGTGACCTGACCGACCTCAGGAGGTTGGGATAATACCCAGAATCCATCAGTCACGATGGGTTGGAAGCAAACGCTAACATGACACAACTGAACCTGCCGAATATAATTTCCTGATATTAATCAAATTGAATCCAGATGTTAAAACTGAACCAGTAGACCTGCGTACATACATATTAAAAGGATAGATGATTTGAAGATTCCTTGGGAACATAATTGAGCCAATAAAATTTGTAAGGAACTTATTCCATATCCCTTTAATTTAAGTTTGTGTATTTTCCATAAGGCACAAATGCCCACAACAAAAATTGAAAACCAGAGCCGGTTAAATGGGAAAAAAGAAGTGTGTTCAAAGTTATGCGCACAGCTGATGAATATTCACACTCTGTTTCATGCTTGGTATAATTAGGTTCGGCAGTGCACACATACACTTGTAAGTTATTGTAAGCTGTTGCAGTGGAAGAGTTTTCTACTACCTTTGATCTGAAGTGACCTCCACTTTGAAACCCTATATCAGCCCCAATATGTTGGAATGTCATGCCAAGATCTTGATCACCAAGTACTGGGATCCATTCCAATGTCGTGTTCTCAGCCTCTGTGGGGAATAAACCAATTTATCACTAAAATCAATAACTATATGTCCCATTGTCTTGATGATTCTAACATTCTCTCTTGCTGTTTTGCCTATTTAAATTGATTTGATCAGAATGAACCATCGCTAAGGAAAATAATTACTTGGGATCAAAGTTATTCAAACTATTCTTAATCGAAACTTTCTAACTTGGATTTACCGTGGTATGCCTCAATCTCTTGTTCAACCGTCCAGAGGACGTTGGTCACAAAGGGCTGCAGCATGTCAGGGATGGTCCAACGAGCTGCGATGTCTGAGGTAGAGGCCTGATAGGTGATGTCATCCTGACAGGGTTGATCGGCAGGAGATGAGTGGTGGGACAACCCTGGATGAACAGATGCTGCACAAAAGGTTCAAGAAGCTGCTAATGATGAGATGTGGCAGAGATCTTGAGGAAGAGTCTAATGATCTACGGTTATTTTCATACCAAGTTTTGCCCTCAAACCGACGTACATTAACACTGTTCGAGATTTGCGAAAAATCAAAAGCTTGCTTGGGTTGAATTCGAACGCACAACCTTCTGTGTACTAGTGCAGATGTTTTAACCATACTGGGCCACAGAAAGGGATAGGATCTGGTGGCAGGCTTGATTCCAATGCAACATCAGGTGGCACTGATATCGATGATATGAGATCGGTTGATAAAGAGAGAGTTAAAGTGTAACTCCCTAGGGTAAGGGTCAAGCCTTGAAAGGGTTGATAAGTGACACGAGATCTAAACGAGGGGTATCTAGCCCCACTTGTCCTATTAAGTATGATATAATGTACAAGGGCATGAACTTTTAGAAAGAATCAATGTGGAACCAAACGCATTAAAATGCTAAAGGCTTTACCTTCGTCTTGACCGCAGCCTAGTCCATCTTTGATTGTGGCTCCCTCCAGTATTTCACCCATTTGCATGATTTTGACGCCATCCGATGTAATATTGACACTTCCAGCTTCCGAGTTGGCACGGATAGTCACGTGGTAAGTCTGTCATTTATAAATGCCAAAAACACTTTAAAACAATGTTGGGAGAAATTGGCAACTTTTGACACAATACAGACACAAAAGTCATTCCTTAATTAGCCAAGTTTCCAACTTGACTACATGTTACAAAAAAGGTGAAGTTTTTCTTCAGCACAATTTAATTTCTATTCAGATTACCGTTAATGGAGTTAGATCCAGTCCATTCAGACGATAGAATGTTGCACTGCCGACATTGACAAAACCATGACTGGCATCTGATAAATCATTTCCTCCTGATCCGACTGCAATCTCATAGCTGATATCAAGATGAGGATGCTCAAAGCCAAACCAACGAGCTGAGATGCTTTTAGTGTCCATTTGTACGTCAATGTCCTTAGCAAACTGTTGCGGAAAGTTGAATAAGAAGAGAATTAATGGCTGGTCAAAATCAAGAACTGAATGTATACTGTAGTATTGTGAAGTTTCAGTTGATTTTCTGTGAGATTTTCTTATCTAGAGGAGCTAGTACAAAAATTTTCTGAAACGGAAATGAACAGTTCAAGAAAAATGGGGGATCGAATTTTAATCTGTTCTTATTTTGTCTTTTGTATTTTCTGTCATTTTCTATCAAATTGTCTTAGTTTCGTTTTTCATTTACCCTGGAGGTTTGAGCATCCAATCTTTCCTATCACCACTTTGCTAAAAATTTCAGTCGCAGTCACATTCCTGAGCTCAAACAATCCCAAACCTCCATTTTCAATGATATTTTAAAGGGTAAGGTTAACGATTTGGAAATTCTGATTTTTAACTTTTGCCGCGCCGTAACTCCGTAGATCATGCCAAAATTGAATAGCTAATCACTTTCATACTGCGTATGGGGATTGCAAATTCCTCATACTGTAAAGCTTTCAGCGGCCCATCGACTGATACAAATGATGAGATTTCAAAGCAGTGTGCATTACCCCAAACTCCACAGCCACTTCCTCTCCAGGGGGAGCAACGTCCAATACAACACCCACAGACGGCAACTGCACGATGGGTCTATACACGGATGAGGTCCCCACTGTTGCCAATCCAGCACCATTCTGCGCTCTGACTGACACGTAATACTCATGGTCACCATGGAGATGCCAGTCTAGGTCATCCAACGAGAATGCGGCACACGATGATTGTGTCGAACACGGGCCAATTCTGTAGTTTTTCTCCAATTGGAAAGTGGGGGTCTCTGAGCCACCTGGGCTGATCCCTGGAATAGTGCACAAGAATAGGCTACTCGTCACAAAAACAGGCCTAACTAAAAAGGTTTTATGGCATTTACTATTTTTTTCGTTGTGAATTTAAAATCAGCCCTTTATATGTAATACAAGAAAACAGTATGAAAAGCATTTTCACATTGTTCAATAATAACATAACCAATATAATATATCCATGGTCATCGCCAGGACTTTTGTCCCCAAGGTGGGGGAATCACATAACAGCATAAAACTGGCAAACCATCGACTGTTGAGGGGGTAATTTCAAATTTTCAGAAATGACGACGGTTTTCATCCCCTTTTTTCTTCTTTAGCATTTGAAGGGTTTCATTCCCAAATGAGATATACACCATTCCAATATTGACCGATGTTTCCAAGATTGTTGAATACATGAGAAAAATACAGTGTAGCAGGTCTCTTTAAATGTTACTTTTCACTCTTCTTTCTCAGTTAGTTGTTTTTTCCAACCCCTATAGAAACTGGCTGGAGGCAACCACAAGAAGGTGAAATTCAGAGAAGGACCGAAATAGCAATTATGTCTTCATTTAATTTTGTTCTTTTCCCCATACTTTATTTGTCTTATTTCCCCGGGGAGGGAGCACATTTCCCCCCTTATGATGCTCATATCATTCACAGTAGCTGCATCTGTCATTTTGAGTTTATGAGCTATGATTTGGCATCTACTCATGAGGACTCGTCAAATTGCAACACAGTCATCACATGGATCTTATTCAAGTCAAATCACAGGGTTAGAGTCTAAATACCGATGAGTTCCTTTAAGTTCACGGCCAACGCACTTTGAGAAACACAAAAGTAAAGTACTTAGACTATCCATTTAAGATAGACACACTTCCCTGTAACAAATAATGCCTTCACTTTTAAAAAACCGAAATTAATGATCTTTTTTGAACTTCCGTGCACAAGACTGAATGTAATGGTGAAGGTCAACAAGAAATAAATGCATTATTAAAGTTATTAGATTGACTAAGGTGTACCACAGTGGCATTCACATTTTGTGTGGTTAGATTCACTGACTTCCATCCTCATGGTTAATCTAGATATGTACAGTGTGCCAGGTATCTGGATTTTGATCAACGGGTCATGTGACGGAAAAAAATAGTCACTTATGTTCCAGTGTTATCATTTGGGACTCTAGGAAAAAATGGGTGATTTAAAACCGTAGGTATGTAAATTGTTTCCATTACGAATGCATGTACTTGAAAACATTGTAAAATCACTCTGGATTACGCAAGTCAGTGTACCTAATATAATAGGTACAGAGTGGAATCAAATACAAAAAGAGTTATCACCCATATCTAGCTTTGACAAACTGACGGCAACTTGGTATCTCAGGTCGGTGTCCTCATCATCAATGAAGCTATCATCTCCCCATTCAGCAACCAAGTATTCATCCTCCACACGAACTGAAACACGCCCAACAAACATGGGTGGGGTGGTATCCACTATAATCGGACCGACTACCTGCAACATGAAAAATATGGGGGGGAAATGGACATGATATAGTTATTTACGTCAATTTCAAAGCAGCTCACATGTATTCAGTGTGTCTTAAACTTTCTTTTGCACAGCCACCCTTTCTTCCATGTGCCATTCATTTTTCAGAGAGTGAGAATACGTTTGAGGGCCCGATGTTGCACTCCAAGCCGACTCTTAGTATATTTCAGGTCACTCTTGCCAGCAGGCAGCTTGCAACAATTGTTGTACTTTCTAGAGTTAAGGGTTAAATTACAAATCACACACAAAATGATGATCTTGAATACATTACATTAACACTGACATATTCTCTTCAATGCGCGTTACAGTGGATTTGTTCCCAATACAATTTTTTAAGGGAGGGTTTCTTGTGATATCTTGTGGTCATTTTGACACCCATTTCCTGAATATCGAACGTACTATTCTAGCGAAATTTTCCCCCTTGTCCCTTTATCCAGCCTGCAGCTTTCTTGACCTTTCCTTTCGTCCTCCTGCATTCGGCCATGTTTGGTTGATTCTCGTTTGCTTATTTGTCCTGTCTACTTGTCATTTGCCTTCGAGAAAGATTCCGCTTGGATCGAAAGGTGCGGCCCTCTATAGTTAGTGATTTATTAGGTCACTGTAGTCAGCAAGCAGTTTGTACTACATACATATAGGTCCATTTCTGAAATTTTTCAAAGACAAGTCAACCAACAAGCAAATTTTGACTGATGATGCATAACGCACTCAATGTTCGTGGGCCGACATGCACGACGCCATATTAATAAACAATGTCGGATTGAATTGGAACGTCACAGATGTCTTCATAATGAGTGTCTTGTGCATTTAGGTTTCAAAAAGATCAGGCAAGAGACAGCCGAGAAAGGGGTGAAATCTGGCCATGACTGTGAGATATGGAATATAATCTGCATGAATGTGATTAAATCCACCTTATTTTAATTTTTATTAAATTGTCTGTATTAACCCCCGGAAATGAAATTTTCATCTATAATAAGCCCATTACACACCTTGTATGTAGACAGCTGGGCCTTGTTGGTTGCCTTTAGAGCTAAGTAGAACACTACTCCGTGGCTGATATGGGGATGGTACATCACAAAGTGATCATGACCTGATGTAGACGTGAATGTCACAAGGTCAGGGGTCGGATTTATAGGGTTGGTGCTCAGACCAATCTCATAGTCATAGATGGAGCTCTCTGCATCGTCCCCAGCCCATGAGATGATCACCTGTCATGGATGTTACAAAGGTTTTAAAACAGTCATGAAATTACACCACCAGAATGACTGGAACTGTCTTCCTTGAGATCTTGTTTCAAGTAAATTTTGGAAAAAGGTTCACCTTGGTATCATTTCCACTGTGCACTCCTGTTCAGATGTTTTCTCCTTGACTATACTGCATATTTGTTCATCATCACTTGAAGCTTCGTATGGGGATCTGACTTCATTTCTGTTATTTATATTGTTATATTCTTAGGTTCCATTCTTGCATTTTGAAGAAACAGCTTTGACTAAATTACACTCTATCGAAAGGGAACTCCTATTAAGTTATATAAATTTGCCCATTTGAACTCTAAGGTCGTACATATTCCCCTGATTGATCTTCCTGGGGGTATGTGTGATCATATAACCTGGAAAATATTTACAATAATATCCAATTATTTATATTTAAACAGATACATGTTTATGAGTTGGAAGGAATATCTTTTGTTGAATAGCCAAGATCCAGAGACAGTCCAGGTCTCCTTTGAGTATAGCCACGGAGTCATTGGTGCCAGCCATCTCAGGATAAATGGACAAATCCTCTACCATAGTAGCCTTGGAACTGCATGGTTACAAGAATAACATCACCTTGTTTAAGTATTCAAATATTGGTGTAGCCAAGGGTGTGCCGATGGAATGGCACAGTACAATGGGGTGGAGAATTTAAAAGCAACTTCAGGAAGCTGATAGAAGCAAAATCCGAATGGCAAATCAGTTGTTGATGTAAAGCGGGGGTAAAAATAGGTAAGAAGACTTGACACTGATTATGAATAGCCAAAAAATCTTACTGATGGTTTCATAGCCCTTAAATTTGTAATGTAACCTATTCCATTTTCCAACTGGCGAAAACCCTCGATTTGTCGTTTCAAGGCCATTTTTATGAGGTTAAATCAGCTTGCAATGTAAGTACTCCATGGTCTTTGTTCAAACACATCAGCATTATTATGTTGACCAATTCCATATAGAAAACCATCAGCATATTCTACTTCAGGAACGCACAAACCTGCATCCACTCGATGCATCAACCAGCTCCATCCTCTTGCGGTGCTCGTCAACAAACCACACCCGACCTTCATTATCCTTGGCCAGACCGGGCCAAATCCGAGCGTAGCTTATAACGATCTGAGACAACTCAGGAGGACTTGTATCAATCACGACACCGTCAGAACAGACAGCCTCTGAGGGCTCCAAGGCTCGATTGTAAGCAATGACGGTGACATAGTACCGGCCAGGAGAGGGTGCAGTCCAACTAGCATGTGTAGAGGTAGTTCTCGTCATCTGAAAAGATTTATATTATACCACTGACATTTCATCTTAATGGGAGAAAGTCTTGATTGTGCTTCGGTAAGATATAATAATATGAAATAATATGAAAGTGCTTTACTTTTTAAGCATCTTATCTTGAATGCAATTTTAAGCACAACAGCCCATAAAAATACGAACGGTTGAACTTCTACCATTTCTTTCAAAGATTCCATTTTCAAATGTATCGAAATAAGCTTAAGAATATTCTGTTTTTCCTCACTCTAAGGCTAAGAAAAATGGCTCATTCAAGACTCATTAAAATCCACAAATTATTCAAATTTACATCTTTGCGAAGAAAACACAATTGAGAAGAGAGATCCATGTGCAACTTACCACATCCCTTACACTGCTAGGGCTAGTCCAGCATGAATCCCCAAACAGATACTGGTAGAACTTGATTCCACTCTCCTTGTCAAAGAACCCCTGCCAGTGAGCTGTGAGGTCATTGCCTTCCTGGAAGTCCACCTCATTAGACCCAGGTATCCCATCATGCACCACACCAGCTTGAGGCGGTGATGTGTCTACCGTTATCTAACAACCATTGAAGCAAGGCAAGGTCACCATTAAGATCAAAGTGTTACAAGGATCATGTCATACTGCTGCTTCTTGTAAGTAAATTCATAAGAAAAAAAAGGTTTTTGACTTTGTTGCCAAAATATTGGTACACAACGCTTCCCATTCTTTGATCTAGTCATTTTCATGCTGTTGAGTTTCATTTATAGACAATTAAATTTGTTTGCCATTACATTCAGACTACAAACTGTTTATTCACACAATTTGTTTAATTTCATGTATCTGAGGATTCAGATTTTCATTTTTGGGTTTCGACAAGAATTAAATGCAGATCACATGAATGTAAAGTAAGCAAAGGAGACTGTGAAAAATAATTAAAAGGATTTTACTTCTTATCTTTAATCTTTATTTTTTATTATTTGAAGATGTTGTTTATGTTCTTCTTAACCAATCTTTCAAATTTCTTTAAACTGTTGCAAATAAAATTTTTAATTTTTTAAATTTTTAATTCTATATCAATTTATGTATTTACATGTCAACTCATTTATACTTGTCTTCTCAGAATTAAAGCCTTCTTGGAATTAAGTGTATTTGAATTCAAATTGCCAAAATTTTCCCAAATATTTGCCCATTAATACGATAGAGCCTGAAAGTTGCCCCCTGACGGCGCGTCTCCGGGACCCTTTGATAGGAAAAACAACGTGAATTTTTTTTAATATTTATATTATTTTTTTGGTTCAGTTACTTCTTAAAAATCCAACTAAGCTTTAGAAAATATTTGCTGTACATCAATTTAAAGAGACTGAATAGTTACCTGACCTAAAATAGAAATATCCTGCCAAAAATTGACCCATCATTTCCAGAGATTTAAAATACATAAAGAAAAGTGCAGTGGGGCAGTTTCGTACTGAGATTAACATTTATGGTTCAAAATTTCATGGTATTCTATCAGTAAAAGCCAAAATAAAAACAGATCAAAATATGTTACCTACTTCTTTAATTTATAAGGTAATTCATTTAAAACAGTAATCTACTCTTACGAAAGATTCTAATATTTTATCTAACCTTTGCTGACAAGAACTGCGTCATGTCAACTCAACCGAATCTGGAGCCCATTGACTGCACTTGTGAGTGAAAACAAACGTGCATGAACAAGGAGACAGACCTAGGCAGATTACTGCCGGAAGTGAAAGGTTGTTAATGAAATTCGATTTTTTACCCATCTCCAAGTTAGTTTTCCTATTACTTGATGAAAACAAAGGTAAAAATTCCATAGGTAAAAATTCCAGACTCATGGGGTTTCAGTTCGCTTCCAAAAATTAATGCATGTGACAGACTGCCCCATAAGCAGACCACTTGAGGGTTCTGGGAGCTTGCTGCATGACCTTTTACTTTCAGGCTCCTTTATCCTCTATAGGCATTAAATGTTACTGACCAATGGCCTAGTATTTGAAAAAGGTACTTGTACATTTAAATGGAGTTTCTGGTAGGCGTGCTTGCAACTTGATCCCTAACAGGGCTGAAAGCTGCAACACAACCACCCCTCGTTACTTTCTCCGGTACCGTGTGCACTTTTTTCATGCCAAAACTTCAGATGTTGGGGGGGGGGCACATTTTGTGAAATTTTGACATACTCTTCTCGCCAAAAACTTTTTTCCAAGACTGCGGGCCTCATGGAAAAAAAAAAGTTGCAATGGGAAACTGACTGCAACAGAAATTCTATTTCGATCTTAATTGCAACATAATAAATGTAACATACTAATAGATAATGAAGTTTTTACTTACATGTAAATCTCAACAAAAGGTTAGGGGTGGGACAACCATTGTGGTCTTACCGTGGGTAGATTCTACCCCGGGTGATACAGAGTCCAAAATCCCTGGCTCTTTGGGATTTAACTTAAATTCCAACTCTTCTTAAAAGATTGGCAATGAAACTACATTAGAGTTTATCTGAACTGAAATGGCATGTGTACATACCTTCAACATCTGGGTAGCTACAAGTCTTGCTTGATTCATAACTGTCAACGCGATGAAGTAATCATGGTCATGAGTGCCAAGATCGTTCGTTGGACTGAAACTGTAGTCTGCGGCATAGCAGTCACCAATCGGGGTACAGAGACAATCGACAGGATAACAGTCTGCAGAGTCCTGAAGAATACCAAGACAAAACATGGAGAGCAAAGAAGTAATACTTTCCACTTGAACTAATTAAAAACTGTCCTCGTGCGGTGACAAGATCCGACCACACATCGTACCAAAATGCTAATATTCAGAATGTGGGAGTTAAGTATTATCATATTATGGTTGAGGCTTAGGTCGGTAACACATTGAAGTAGCGTTTTCCTTTGGATAAAGCAAACTTCAAGGCGAAAAATTAGCACTTCAAATTTAATAACCTTTCAAAATTAATATTTTCCAATATAAACCTGACCGAAAAATAGAAACGAAAATGCACTTTAGGATTAGAATAATGACACACTAATTCCTTCCCTTATCCACTACATGCACTGCAAGCCAGTTTGACCAATCTTCCTTTTTCCCATTCATTAGGGCCGGGGGTTCAAATCCCTCTGCTGGTTCCGATATCTGGCATGTGAATTTATTCCTCTCCACAACTAAAGACAGTAGGCATGTGAGTCAGCTGTCAGGGCAGAGGTGGTTGTTTTAGTTATTTACGAAGGGATGACTTTAGGAAATAGTTGTTGCCCGAGGACCAGGGGTAGTACTTGTGTCAAACCCTGCCCACCACTAATGAGGGGGTATGTGCACAATATTTATACTCATCATTATTACCATGTCAAGTTTCCTGACAGGCACTGACTGGTGTCCATATTCCATCTCTGTGCCTGTGTGGTTCTCAAACAGACGCCACTCAATGTTTCTTAGACCACTGTGAATGTCGTAAGCCCTGAACACAAATCTGAGATAGAACAGAGGAAAAACCATCTTTGGCATCACACATGTTTTATTATAATTATTGTTGTTGTTGTTGTTGTTGTTGCTGTTCTTCTTCTTCTTATTCTTATTATTTGTTTTGCTGTTAATTTGGAAGAACAGTACACAGGGCGAGGGACAACACATGTATAAAAATTTCAAGGTTAAAAATTAAAAGGGATAAGCCAGCTGCAAATGCCTGAAAAAGAAAAAACTGTCTTAATAATTGTGACCCAAAGGGCCTTCCCTTCCAACACTACTGCTTATATATGAAAATATATCCTAATACAATTAAAGATTTATTTAAATAGATGAATAAATAATTACAACGTAAGATATTAAGTAAGATCTCACCATGAGAAAATACATCCGGGAGGGGCTTAAATATAAGGCTTAAAGAAAATTAGAAAATTTGTTTTAAAAAATAACAAAATGATAATAAAAAAACAGAAAAATCTAATTAAGAAAATGAATAAAACAATTTCTATAAGGAAACCTTACTGAAATATTAATGTTAACACGGAGGTGAGCCTGTACGATGAGATTGGTTACTGAGTAGAAATTTGAAAACTAATTATGCTCCTTATCCGAGTCTTCAAGAAACAAGGGAAACCTTAGAGGGTTAATCCCTCTGCGGTGAATACTTCAATAGTTCCATAAATCCTATTTTGCAGGTCATCGTTCTCAGATGTATCATCATGGGGGGATGCAGTGAGATTGAGTTTTAGCTTGCATTAAACAAAAGGAGATAAATACAAAAAATATCATTTGGGATGTGAATTTTCATATTCGGAAGTGAGGTAGACTACTTTGACTCCTTGTCAGACTGCTGGTTGAAAGGATTACAGTGCCGTTTCATTTGTATTTATACAAATAATCTTATTTTCATAATGGCGCGAGTAGGAGGACCCTGAGAAATAATTTTAAAAAGGAAAAAGCCAAAGAATTGAAAAACAGAAATGCAATAGTATTGAAACTATGAATTTGTTGGAGAAAAAAGAAAATTCACCCCTCCTGCTGTTAATTGTTAATTTTTTTAGCTGGCTGGCAATGCCCGTGCATTAAACTATTTGTAGCCAATGTACATGTTGCCATTTCAGACCAAACCTTGATGTTGAAATATGATTTTGGAGCTTTCCACAGGCCAAAATGAAAAAAAGGTGAAAAGGCACACTGACACTACCAGGATCTTTGACCCCACGTCCATGGGTTCACCTGACACAAATTGCCCACACAGCGCAGGGCCCTGGGAAGGGCAAATATATAACATATTTTTTGTTGAGTGCTCATTGGATGGAGTTCATTTTAACATCTGAACATGGTCGATACTCCATGGTATGCATGACAAGTGTGCGCTAAATGTATATTCGCGGATTAGGCACAAAAGTAACCCAAAATGCTTTGTGCGACTACAGCTGTGAGGTATTTCATACTTTGCATTTGTAAAGGTAATGTTTCTATTTTCCATTTTAAGTTCTACTAATTAATAAATAGTGACTGTTGAAAATTAAAATGTAACTTTCAAGTCCGCTTGCTTCTGTTTGGCACTGGCAAAATGTAGGACAAAATTTTAAAAACAGTCTAACCCTCACCTGAATGTGGAAATCACACCCCGAAATGAGATTTTGTTTTCTTTTGTGTTGGGAAACAAGCTTTATTGAATTAATGTAACATCTCCAGTGTTCAAGCAGTCCAAAACCAAATCTCACTATATTCCTCCCTGAGGATATATTTCAAAAAATGGGGCACTAAAAACTATTGAAATATTTGCCGCAACGGGATATTGAGGTGAACCGTTTAACTCGCTGCGGCGAGATACTATTTCGTCGTGGCTAGATAGTAACTGAAAAGAAAAATGGTGCAATTGGCCTTTATACACTTAGGTTGCGTACCATTTATATCTTGATCGTTGATACTTACGCATACCCATATGCATAGTAGACCATTGGTTATTGAGAGAGCCCTATTTATGCAACTACTCCGAGACCATTATCATTTCGTGGGGCTGTTTAGCAGATGCTCGCCAAACTCTCTTTAGAATCTGTCAAATTGTGAAACTGCATGGCAGATTGCTACAACAGCCGTTTGTGCACTATGTGTTTCAAAACATCATAACAATGTCAAATGAATATATTCCCAAACTGTTATCTAGGTGTTTTAGCAATCAGAGTAATCAAGTCAAAACAGTTTTTTATTAAATATTACTGCAACCTAAAGATATAAAAACTGTTTAATGGTGTGATTGTGTTATCTGGGATGTCATTCTATACGTTATTAACATGCATGTGCATAATGAGCCAATGTGCATTCATAGCAGCTAGCATGGCGAACCCCGAAATAATGAGTCCATCCAATCCTTGCTCCCTCTTATCACCATAATTTCGCTACCTTTTGTCAAGTTTGATTGGTTTTCACAGTATGGCGGAATAAGGGACCTTGCAACTGACGTTAGTGACACAACATACACAGTGACAATGGTAGTTGAATTGGCATAGAATAGCCGGCATTTTTGCATGCCATTCTTTACATGAAAAAAGATAATATACAACACAACTTCACGCTGTTTGTAATGCGTGTAATGCACAGTAAAAACACAGTAACTGCAAAAACAGTCTCCACTGCCGATTGCAAAATCTCAGTAGCACTCTGCTTATCGGGCATCATGACGCATACGACTAAGTTATAAACAACTGTAGTTACAACAAACGCCTTGACCCCTCTCTATACTTAAATGCTAATGATATGTCTGAAGCTAAACAATCGGCAGTTCTGTCTACTCACAAAAGTACCTTGGTGTTAATTACTTCAAAAATTGTAAGGCTTTTACAAACCTTAAACTTTCAGCTATTTTGATTACACTGTATACCAACTTACTCAGTCATTACAAACATTTGCACAAGATTTTATACATTGTTTCTTGATGAGGTTAGATTCTACTGGTGATCTATATGAGGTTTGTTAACATTAATCATCATTAAAATGATAATGACATATATTAAAAATATTTTCCTAATCCACACCACGGAAGATCCACAACATCTACTCTCTTATCATCGTCAGAAGCAGGAGAGCCTGACCAATTGCAACGTGGCTATTATCTTTTTTGTTTTTCTGTCACCAGCAAATGACAGCCACGCTATGATTGGCCTAATTGCATCTATACCAGTGATGGAATTCAAATTCATCCTGCCACAGTGGAAGTGACCATGTAGATAGCGCCACCTAAAATGAAGGGGGTGGTCAAACGACAAATGGGAATTGTCAGTTAGTTACCTCATGCAGCCTCTGTGGCAGAACTAATCAACGGCATGATGAAAGACAACACAGAGCAGACCTGGGGCCCGCGCAATGCACTGATTGTAGACGCTGTTAATGAAAGTGTACAAGTAAAGTCTGCATGCTACCACCTAACAAAGCCAATCATAGTCAGCTCCTATGCTACCAGCCCTGGCATAAGGGGCTGCAGACTTCAGAGGCATGAAGACGAAAGTTGGAGGTCAGTGGCATATTGCTCCCGAAGCCTACATGTGCACAGCAACAATGTGTATGGTTGGAAAAAGACCTCCTTGTGAACGTTTTCTGCATCTATCTCAGAGGCCTACCAGTGATGTTCCAGACGGAACAAAAACCCCTCGTTTCCTATAATCAACAATAAGGACTTGTGAAATGCCACTCTACGATGCCAATGATGATGAGGTCGATTAAGTACGACTGCTACACAGAGTAAATCCCTGGTATTAAAGGGCCTGTTTGTGGAGCAGCCGATGCACTCTCACAACCCTCACTCTCTCCAGGGAGACAAAGCGGCAGAGTCCAGTGAAGATTTAGAGAGGAGATTAAAGCCCAAGTCTACCTAGTCACAACCCATCGGCAAGTATCTGATGACAAGCTGAGACAGTGGAAATAGCTTCAGAGACTAGCCACGACCATAGCCTTAGCACAGTCATTACTTTTGTCAGAGAATGACGGCTAAAATACCAGTGAAATGTTGAGGCAGAGTTGAGTGTGGGTCTAGGAAGAACAGGACAAGATCAGCCCAAATGTATTAGGTGGCATCCTCACGTTTGCTGACCACATGGTACTTATTGATCCTGAGACAACAAACACTGCAGAAAACCAATGAGTCATCTCAAACGCTGGCTTGAAGCGTCTCGACCTGTTTGGTTTGATTGGTGTGAGTACAAACACAGCCAAGTATGTCCAGTTTTGCCAACTTTGCCAGAATATGCAACTATCACAATGAGCCGAACCCCAGATATATATACACAACCACAATGACTATGGAAAAAAATTGTCTGCGATCTAAGCTGAGGAGAAGGGGAAGATGTACTTCATGGTTATGGACTACTATTCCAGATGGAGAGTTACATCACCTCCACACGACAACAACCAAATCCGTAATCAACTTCATGAAGGTAACATTCACCTTAGATACATCATTCCCAAAGAGGCGATGACAGACAGTGGCCCAAAGTTTTTAGATGAATTTGACAAATTTGCTTGAGAATAAAACTCATCACTTCAAGTCCGGTCAAGCAGAGAAGGCTGTACACATTACCAAGAGACTTTTGAAGTCAGGATGGTTTACTTTGTGCGCTTATGATGTGCTGGTCTACTCCTTCACCAAGCCTACTTTGATTTGAGAGGGGAAATAAGCTTACAGTGGACAATAATTTAATTTAACTGCATTTTTCAAGGCACTCATATCAATCTGTGACTTGTACTATTTTGTCTTCTGTTTCATTTGGGAATACTTTCACCTTGTCACAAGGGCAGCAAACTTGCAGACAATATTCTTGCCCCACTTCCAACCGAGGCTTCTACTGTATAGATGACTAGAGCCCTAATGACCCTTGATCGAGAATTTCCGATACAATTAAATGAAATGTACATTCTACCTCATTTCATGCAGATTGGCTGAATGATGAATGGCTAGGTTTACTTCCCCGTCTCGTACCAGCCAGAAGTCTTCAATAACAGGTGGGGATGAGTCAGCGTGAACCAACACATTGTCCCTTAAAAAGTGACCGGCTAGGTCCCTGGCCTCCACCCAGAACCGTATAGAATCGCCGTCCACTAGGCTCAGGTCATATGTCACCTGCGTGTTTGTGGCTTCATTCCTCCAGTTGTCTGAGTTGGTGTCACTCACACTGACAGTTGTTTTACCCCCGCTGTGGTCGATCTCAGAATAGGTACGGAACTGTGTAATGCCTAGCTTGTTCGGGATACCTGCACGGCCTCGCTGCCCAAAGTACTGGTCGTAATCTATGACAGAAAACCAAGTCAGAACAAGCGCTTAGTATGGGTGTCCTTTTCAAGGTCCAGTGGGATGAATTGCTCTTAAATGCACTTTGTTGTGCAAGTGCAAAACTCTTCTTGAATGTTTGAAATTTATTTGACATCCTTTTGAGGTTAAATGAATTCAAAGTACCCATTCTGAACATGTAAAACTTGCCTTTTTTGACAGATGAAGGCATAGTTAATGTGACATCAGTAAGGGAAGACGCTGTTCAGTTTTCAGGTTTTTTAATCCAAATTGTGAACCTAAAATTTGCTGACTGAAAGCATTCAACACATTTGGAAAAAGGGTTACTCATTGATTTCTTTCCATCTACTTACACAGCAAAAAATCAAATAAGGAAATTTATGGCAGCAAAATATAAACATTTCAGCAGCTTTTTTATGCAAAAATCAATGCAATATTCAGGTTTAGCTCTTGGGATGAAATGATACTGCTCATGTATGTGGAAATTTGCCGTAACACCGAAAATGGCACCCAAATGAATGCATTGCATACACATAGCCTTTTAATATTGGCATATTGCCCCGACACAATGTACATACTCAGTGCTGTCTCTAGACAGCATCAAATCACAATATTTGAAGGTAGCTAAAACCTGAACCCCCAATACTGACTAACCGAACTTGATCAGCCCTGGAAAACCGTGACAAAACAGCAGTGAGTACTACATATATTTCTATGAACAGTAAATGAGTGCCTTCAACAGGCAAAACATTCCCCTATCCACATGCTATGACCTGTGGAAAAAAAGAATATGTCACGTTTGTAATATCATAGTAAATATATGATGATGTCAACATATGACAACGTGACAAGTTGCACTTATCTCTGCCTATCTGTTCAGAAGCATGGCTCCCTGCCCTGTGAAGAGTGCACCTGTAAGGTAGTGGGACCTGACAAATGAATATGTCATCGTGAAGGTAACACCATTATAATTTTTTCCCCTGAAACACGTCCCTGTTTACACATTATTAGTGAATATCAAGTTGAACGGTTGACTAAATCCTTCAATAAGAGTGGGGATTCAAGGTCGTGCTTGTTCATACATGAACACATGACACATTGACAAAATGTTGTCACAGCTCGGCCAACACATACCATACCCTTTGAAAATTTACACCTCAAACGTATTTACATGTACATGACTAATTATGGTTTCCTATAGACATCCTCATGGTGAGAAGATTAAAAGTTTCTTTTTCAAAAAGACTACCCATCCGCTCGAAAAAATACAATTTAGTCTTTCAAAACAAAACTAAAAAAAAACTTATTTCATTTAATTAAAAAACACCAAAAAAACATTTTAAAATGTGATGACGTCAACATCATGTCACTCAAACAATTTCAAAAGCACTGAAGGGCAAGCAACAATTGAATATCCAAGGTATAGTTCCGGATATGCTGGCCTTAAAGAAATGAATCTTTACAAGTAAGACTCAAGTCCATCAGTTCTCAGAGCAGCGCGCCCTCTCTTGCTTACGACTAGCAGTGCAAAGTATTAAGGGACAGGGACGCGCATGCAGAGCTCGTACGGGCCCCGGATCTCCTCAACTTCTTTCAATGGCCCTGTGTTCCACACCAACCTTATCATTTTCAGGTGCAGTACCTGACTGTTAGGTTTGCATCTGTAGTTGTTGAGATTTTGTCTTACGTAAAGTAGTATTTGCTACAGCTATACTTGTTGAAAGTTCAGACGCTGCAACGTGAAATCGCGTCAAGTTAAAAAGACCAGACACCATTTTTGAACATGAAGTTTATTCAGTCTTTATGGCCACCATTGACTGTCTTGATTTGTAACTATAGCATATCTTTATTGAGCAGAAGGGTGATGTTGTAAGTGAAGAATAAGTCTGTTTTCTGATGGGTTACAGTTTGTACCAGTAAAAGAATTTCAGAGTATAAACGATATTTCTTTATTCGTTCTGGCTGAGAATTTAAAATTTTCTCTGAAGCACATGTGAAACTCATAATAGTTATGAGCCATGACCCTACATAAAATTTCCTTACCTATAGGCCCACATGTGTAAAATAACTTAATGCTACTTCCTGCTTAATATTCAAATTGTTAATTATTTGTGCCCCTGTGATGTGTTCGGCATTGTTTAACCCTTGGTTATTTGATAATCATCTTAGGCCTGATTTGCTGACAAGGAGCGTCTGTTCATGACTTGAAGAGTCTGAGGCTTAAAGCAGTCACATTCATGTGAGCATTGTTTTGCTTTCTTTATTAAGTTTAGTGAATTTTCTCATATATTCCTGGCTGTCATCAAAAAAGTATTGTAACGAATAAATGCTACTTTTAGATGTATAAACACATGATGGCCATAAGTCTGTTGAGTTTAAACTACCCAGACTGTATGCTAAACACAAACGGTCGTTCCCATAAAATCGTTCATCTGATTGGTCACTCCCATGTTAAACAATTTGTGGTGTTCCAAAATTGAAGTTTTAACCTTTGATGTTAAATCCATGCATGTGTTTTGTATTGCTCTTTACAATTAGTCACCAAAGCAACAAGGAAACAGGTAGTCATCTAGACACGATGGGAACATATAGAAGGTGGAAAGTTCAGTCCATGGTCGTCATGTTACCTGTTTGTGTGACATGACCAAGAGCACTGTGTATAATAATTCTAGCTCCAAGTTGAAGAGCAGTTACACATAATGCCACTGTTGAGGAGTAAATCTTCAGTATATGGTTGACGCCTACCAACTGGGAAGTGATCGGATTTGCAAATAATCTCAAAAGGGACTTGTGAATTTAACAAATGTATGATTTCTCGACGGAAAACAAAAAGGAAAAATAAATAACAGAATGAAAAATAAAGCTAAGAAGTACAAAAAGAAAACGGTTCAGCCAACTTTCAGATACGTATGCAGAAAAAGAAGCCCTGGTTTGAACAAACTGGAAACTCCATACATTTGAAAAATGGGTAACTGGCACTGGAAAAGCAAGATATCCGAGAAAAATGCAGTCCTCCATTATACCAAACATGGGGAGACTCACCGGAATGGATTGTACCGGCAGCATAGGACCCAATGGGCTTTAAGAATCCTTGGTTGTGGTGATTCACATTAATGAAATGGCCTGTCCAGTCAAGCCCCACAGTGGTTGTCCCTCTGCCGGATTCAAGATTGGTCAGCCACGTGAAGTTGGTCTCTGCAGTCGCTGAGACTACGCGCAGAGGCGAATCACTTTGTATGGTGACATCATTGGGATCATTGTCAAAGAACACAAAGCGTCTGCTGCGTTTGACGTTGCCAGCGTGGTCAACAACGGCAAGGACAATAGAATAAACACCTGAACAATGGCAGCAAAAGAGAGGGCGACGTTTTCAAGGTTATATTATCTCCAACATATTCGTTCTTCCCCGTTCAGTATATAGTCGTGTTCCCATTGAAGTTCTTCAGCATGTCTAAAGCATTACTTTAGCTTGTGCACATGGTCTTTGCATGCAGATGTATGTTGAATTTCTATGTAAAAGTTGAATATTATGTTTTAAAGTGCAATCTGTTTTGAAGCTTCTGAAAGTTTTATGTTGTGTTTACGAGCAGGGGATCAAAGTAGGCCTGAATAAATCAAACTCACCTAAATGCGGCAAGGTGACATTACAACCAGAGCTGGTTGTTCTTCTGTAAACTGCAGGTCGGTGAAAGATTTCTGTCATCTTGTTGCCATGACTACCTGACAGCTGTCGTACCTCCAGATCATATTCTTTGACACCAGCCAGATCGTCAATCCAACCTTGCCATTGGACTCTTATCACCTCCTGAGGAAAAAACAGTGAAACTAGAGACATAATACAGAATTTAAGATTTTTTTTCGTCAGATGGGGTTTCAGTGAATACATTGCATTCATATTGCCACATTTTGGTATGTTTCCGTTTGTGTCAACTGCCTCTCGAATGTGTGGGTACAGTGGCACCCTTGGAAACAACTGAAGAATTAATATTTAGGGAAAAGAAATTCAAAATCAGGAAGAAACAAAAAAGAACACGAACGACGATAAACACTACCAATTAACCTTTAAAATACCTTGGAATTGGCCCCTTCTATCGTTACTATAGTTTGTCACTTTACTCTTGATGAGTGTTTTGCCCATCCTCAAAAAAATTCCTGGCAACGCCCACACAAGATTACAGGGATCACCCTTAAGGTCAAGTTGATTGGCTGGGATTTTTAGATATGTTTGAGGATCACGAATTACGGTGACTGTAAGATACTGCTTTGATTTTTTAAATACGGTTCTGTAATTTAGGACCCTCAGTTGTCAATGTGACCACATTTTGAAGGCAACACTAACCCGAGAGGTGATGTCATTCCCTGCATTTAGCATTGCTTTTCTGCATCCTCTACCAACATCCACGCAGTGGTAAGGGTCATCAAAGTCAAAGGTGAAAGTTGAGGAAGCGGAGCTTGTTGTGCCACTGTAATATCGTGTCTCGATTCGGTTGCTTGAGTCTCTGTTGTATAATTTCATGAAGCCACCACTGGTTGAATACGTGTCAAACCGAAGTCTGCAATGAAATGAAGGTATAAGATTACAGTCTCATAAACTATCAAAGAGCAATCCTGCAAGTAGGTATAGCTGTATGCAACGCGTGCATAAGAACCCTAACAGGCTTCTATATGAAACAGACTTACACATCTCCTGAAGCTGGGGTCCAATCATTGTAGTTCAAAGTTAATGTGGTTTCACAGGACACCAGATTTGTTGCAGGACTGCTTTGACTAAAAGGAACTCCACTTGTCGCTGTAGTACATGTTGGGTTACCTACTGTATATATTAAGCTCTCACCCCCTGTTGTATGATGCAGGTAGAAAAAGGTAAATTGCAGGGAATTATTTAATAGATGCAGTTCACTTTAAGACGTTTAAGATGGTATTTGTAAATGTATTTACATTTTACGAAGGCAAAAGTTTGTTGCATGCGGAGTGACAATCTGGTTCAAGTGATGTATGTTCATAATGCCAATTGTGTACAGACGCTCCTGCTCTCTTTTGCCTTTGTGGAGCAGAGTGCTAAATTATCCTCTAAAACAGAAGAAAAACAAAACAAATATGGGTCAGACACATGTCATCCAGCCTCTCAAGCAAGAATCAATGTCTTAGTGTGAATTAACTCACGATTCACAGTGACCCTGGCTCTTGCACCCACAACACCCAGCCTAACACTGTGAATGTAGGGATATCCACCACTATGGAGGTCGGGGAGTCCAGTGGGCTGGTAGGAAATTATCCAGTTAATCCTGAGGTTCGAAAAATTGTTCACGCTGGTATAGACAGTGGTCATACTGCCCTGGTCAGAAGGTGATTCCAAGGTTGTAGACCCGGAGATGAGAGTGGCGCTGTGCTTTGATAGAATAGGTACCTGACTGCTTTCCACTGCAAGTAAATGATGCATATTAGCCATAAAACCATTTACGTGATGTGTGAAACTACCATACCTGTCAGTGTTTTGTAAAATGCACAATACTGTGCAGTGTAAGTTATAGCACTGGCTGAGCTTGCCCATTGGAGTTCGTATCTCCAAGCTGATGGTTTTGGTTTTCAAACTTTTTAACATCAATCATGAGTCTCCTTGAAGTATATGGGTATATATTCCATCTATTTTTACCATGGCTTCAATGGTCTAAAACTCCACGATCTTCACGCTAACGAGCACCTTGGTCATGTTTGGTTTTACCGAGACATGATCCTTCATATAATAATATACACATGTAACTGTTTATATTTTATATATAGCCGCTCTAGAAAATATACATTGGCACTCCTGAAAATATCTGCCCTTGAGAAAATTGATGGCACGTACGAGCTTTTGTACCTTTGAGAGTATGCCTTAAAAATTGTCTTGAGGGATCCTTATTGCAGATATCTGATAATAGGCCTACATCACTAAATTCAGCAAAACATCAACAGCTTCAGAAAGCAGGAAAATACGTGTAGGAAATAAAGGGAATTACAGCAAGGAAAAGCTTTAGCAATTGGTCTAGGGTTGACGTGCCAGCACATGGCTTTTTTTTCTTATTTTGTGTTACACGGTTACAGTGTTTGTAAATTTATTTCTAACGACATGATCACTCACTTGTTCTACAGTCGTTTCCCGAGAAGCCAGTGCTGCAGCGGCAGTTGGTCCCGTAAGAGCAGGTTCCTGGATAACAGGCATTGCTGTCAGTCCTCCATGAACATTGTTCTGGAAGACATAACCCCAAAACAGCTTTCAGCAATACCCACGTACTGAATAACATGTAATTTAATGCCAACAAGGCAATGTGATGTAACAACAGTTTGGACACCGAGAATAAAGCTGTTCTGTAAATGGCCATGAAAGCATCATTATATATCTCACTTCCCAAAAAGACTTCATAAACACTTCAGTTGCTGTAAAGTTGAACATTGTATTTACCACAATGGTCTTTCTGTTACGGTATTTCCATCAAAATTACATTGTAATAATCCCATATGCAAACAAAGATAAGAGGTCTACTAAAAGGCTGGTAGCTTAAGAATAAAAAAGTGTTCTAGACAAAAATTAAGTGGTTTAGGGCAAAACCAAGGGAAAATAGAATGCTCCATAGATAATCTAGGGAGGAAAGTTTTACTGCACCGTCAGATATGCATCAAAGCAGTCAACATTTGTTTTATAATACCACTCCTACAATTATGCTTGATTTAAGCGTTCACTGATTAATTCAATCTAAATACACATGAAAACATTCGTCTACTTGAAAGAGAAATTTCTCAAAAATTTGCCAGTACCACGTTTTCAAACTACCTCTTCATGGAATGTTTGAACTCATTTCTGTTAGCATTTCGACATAGTGCAGATGATGATGTGAGTAGGTCTTTGGGATGGAGCAGTGCTATTCGCTCTTTGCACGTTGCCGCCATAGGCATGCAGAGCCTCGATCTGGCAGCTTTACACAATATTTTGCACTTGCTGTATTAGTTCTTATACCATGTGATTGGAAAATATTTTTAAAAGCTGCGTCGACGCGCTTCTGTGGTGATTGTACAAACTGCCAGTTCGAGGCTCTGCATGCCTATGGCGGCAGCATGCAAAAAGCAAATTAGCTGTGAAAAGCAAGATAGCAGAAACATGAATGCCATGTAACTAAAGCTCTCGGTCAATAAAATACAGAAGGTGTGGTGTTATAAACCTCTTTTTCTGTCCATGTGTGGCAACTGAGGACAGGAAAGGGACAAAGAATTGGTGACAGTGTGGGGTCGCTTAAAAATAGGCCAACAGAGTTTGCATAAGGAAAAGGGAAAAATCTGTCTGCCCAGCCACTGAGCATTGATGTTTACAAACAAACCCTTCCAATTGTTTGAGATCGGAACCAGAAAAGATCAGCATCCTTTTACCTGAAGATGTTTTGGAGAAAGAAACCTGTTACAGCACGCCTTGGAGTGTGTGACTTTGGCACGTATAAAGAAGTTGTATGCTTCAAAAATCTTGACAATTTGCATGTTTGGCTGCTTTTTTACTAATTAAAAGTTTTATTGTTTATTACTTACGAAGGCAAACTCTTTTGTTAGAAGACAATTTGTAAGCTGATCCAAGTGAGCCATAATCACCCTCACAATACGAACATATCTGGTCTGATGAAGTGGTGCAGGACACATCATTGCAGTGTGCTATAGCAGTACAACCTAAGAATGCAGCAAAATAAATGTATCAAAGTTAACAAAGTCCTTGTTGCATTGACAATCAAACCACATTTTAAAACATCTGTAGTCTAAGTAACTCCTGAAGTATTATACATCAATACAGGGTGTCCCAAAGAAGCAACCCCACAAGAATTATATATTTCTTCCTAAATTATTAACTGTCAAAAATGATTTTTTTTTTTATAAAGCCTATAGAGAGTTTGCATGGCTGCAATATGGCAGACCAGTGTGTTTCTTCCACAGGGTACAGACAAAGAGTTTGCCCTGTGGAACAAAAGAACTGTCAAGCAAGATGGCTACAACACAAAGCCTCTGTGAGGGCACAATTTTGATAGCACCAGAGGCTCCTTGAGTCAGAATTGCTCTTCGCTGGTTCACAAACAACTATGAAATGCACGGGTTACGGTCGCGTTGCTACCAGCAATTTGAACACTCCTGACGAACATGGCTCTTTTCAACCGATGAGAGTGTGCTTCTGCTTAGGGTGGTATAATGGTGTAAATTTAATTTGAAGGCCATGTTGCACGGTGGGAGGTATGTTTTCAATTATGCAATGTACCTCATATTTTGTTCTGTCCAGTCGAAGTTTACACAGTATATCTTGCAAGTGTATGCAACCACTGGATTCAAATCCTAAATCATCACACATCTGTTTGGGTTATTTTACTCTTTGGAATTACTTCCTTCTACTAAATTAGACTAGATGCTTATGCCAGATGACAATGTTGTATAAATAATGTCAGAAAATGGAAAAATGTATATTTTGTGTGGGTTATCTTGCATTTCTTATTCTGCTCCCCTCGTTCCCGGGATATTTTCCACCTTATGCAATTCAAATGGAACTATCTGTGGTATGCAATGGTGGGGGTCATGATGTTTACCCCCACTTGCTAATCCAGTCCATTGTTTCAGGGGAACTTTCCCACAGTCCGGACCAAGTATTTTTAGAAACATAATATCAGTTTTCATTGTTTAGGAGATTCATCAAACTAGAGGTTGCAGATTGTCAGGACCTGGGAGAAAATCTGCTGATCCTGCCGATTAGCAGAGTTACACAATGAACCTTCAAAGATTTGACCAATGGGGAAGCTTATATGCAAATCAAACTTTGAGGAAGGTTTTGTCAAACTTGCAAGTGACCAATCATATTCTTGATGGAAATGTCCATCAAGAGACAGGCATTTAAGGGCCTATGTCGGGGTCAGAATTCAGTCTGCACCACCACCCAGCAGACCACTGGTCAACAGCCCGACACTCGAGTCTACACAGTAGCCATAAGGGGTGAGTTGCTGTCCTTAGTAATCTACCTGTGTGTAACTTCATTTTAAATTTATTTTGATTACTTAGTATTATAGATTGTGTTACTTCTAATGTTGATGGACCTGTATTGTTAGCTTGTTTTTATGATCAATCCCAATCATGGCATTCACATGAAGTTGTTTTACAGTGCTTTTCTCCATTTGTTCTGATTACCCCCTTGTTTGGCACACTCGATTCAACAATGTCCTAGTTTGTAATTAAGGATGTTTGTACACATTGTAAGGATGAATTTCTGTTCTATTATATAGCTCAAGTGGCATCTGTGTTGAATTGTGTTGAGGCAGATGTAGCCAGTAGTAGGAGAGAAGCCAAGTTAGCATATCCAGGTTAGCTCCAGAATTATATTTATATTTCAAGCAGTTTCACACTCTGAATTTGGAAGTGTTTTTACATGATGTTGTATGCCAGATTGGAAAGTTAGTATAGGCTCACCAACACAGATTAAGAGGTTTTACTTGTGTGTTAAGTCATTTTATGATGTGTTGTGTGAAGACTACCCAAGAAAGTGTTGTGTAATTGGTCACATTCCTTCAGTGGTCCAAACCTGGTTTAACAGCTGTGTTTTGGTTATAACAAGAACTCAAGGCTTTACGCTCCAACCACAGTGTATGACCTATGACTGTTTACTACCAGTGTGTGTGCACAGTATTTGCACCATGTAGTGTATGTGTAGTAAATGCTGTATTATCTACTGTACATGTAAGTAATTGTGTTATTTTCCTAATATTACAGGGGTCCGTCCATCGGTCTGTCTGTTTGTCGACCCATCAGATTGGTCCGTCTACCCATGGACCGTCCAATCAGTCTGTTAACCCTATTTTATTGAGGAGAGCTTCAATAAAGATTTCATCAGTTGTAGAGTAAACAACAGAGACAGTGTCGTCGTCTGTTAATCGCGGTCGTATCAGTGAGAACCTTGCGCTTGCGGCGCAGAAACCTATCCGGCAGCACAGCCGGATAATACGACAATAATTGTACAGCAGCTTCAGACGATGCAGTTCCATTGAGTAACAAGTTTGTTTCAGTTAAAGCAATTTCAGTTAAACTTGTCCAGTGTATGTATTCCTCCGTCAGTTTGTAACAAGATACCACTCTGATTGATTCTGTAACATTAACAGTACGTGTTTGCACTTCGTACCAGTTCTGGATCGCGTTTCTTTGTTGATGGGAAATAAATGAGGTAACAAAAATACACAACCATGTTCCATATTCTTACTCTGTTAACCCATTCAACGATAACATGTGTTGATACGTATTTTGGCGTTTAACATGTTGATTATTTTGTAAATCCCATTAGACAGAACAAAACAGTACTTGTTTTATGTAATCAGATTATCTCCTCAATGCATCATCGGCTCTAACTTAAGTCCCTGGGTTTTCAAAGGTCACACTCTAAAGATTGCTTTGATACCATACACAACCATTTCTGGCAATTTGAGGGGAGAAATTGTTACTTCTGGGTTGCTTTTTGGGGGGCACCCCGTAGGATCTTTTTCTTATACTTAATGTTTATAATCTGTAACCATGAAGCCTCGGACTTAGGCATTTTTGTTGTGAATATAAAATTGGTTTATGAGAACACAAACCAGTTAATTTATAATAAATTTAAATAAGATTCCAGGGTACCTACTGTATAACGGTTTCCATTCAATCATTCATGTGACCCATTTCAGGTACACGTATTTGAAATATAAAATTACCAGTTTACTCAAAAAGAGTAACTCCTAAAAAGCCCTCACCAGGTTAACTGGATGCCTTCAACCGTTCATCAACGTTTGGACATAATGTGGTGCAGACACCATGTTAGTAAAAGCGATTTGTAGGGTCCAAGTTACTTTTCCAAGAAAAACAATTCCTCAAGATTATTCTGGGTTACTTTGTGTGTGACTCATGGAAGTCTTTAAAGACCTGTGAGTTTCATCAACATGCCTGCATTTACTTACGATTACATCTTGGAGAGTAATATCCCCGCCTACAGCTGCAGTAGTCAGGACGTCTGCATGTCCCTCCATTCGGACACCATTCACGACCAAAACATATTGCTTAGTGCAAAGGGAAGTGACAAAATTAAACAGAGTTACGAAAAATAGAACATTCCTTTTTAGGATTATGTATACGGTAATAGAATACTTGTATCTAGCGACATTAAGATCTGTGTTCTTTTTTTGATTTGTGCTTTCAATTATGAAAATGATTTTTTTTTCAGTAAAAATAATCTTACCAGTTGGGCAGTTATTGGAGGTGCCCCCAGTCCATCCATCGCAGCACCTATAGCAGGTTTTCGACCTGTTCAAGTGGAAAGTTTGGAATGGCATATGTTGGTGACTCACGCCAAGTCTCTGGCCAATGAACAACAAGGTGTGCTTTATTAAACATAACTATTACAACCGTGCAAAATCTTGAGAAATGACCTGATATCAGAGAGCATCTTTTAATATGAATATCATCTATATACAGTTTTCTCACTAAAATTGGTAGGATGCATTCTGGTTCATTTGTGGACAAGCATTTTCAAGTGAATTCACTGAACCTGCCATTTCTATGGTCTTATTTATTTTTAGTGTGCTGAACTTTTGTTTATTGACCTCAGATATTTAAAAATAATCTTAGAATGAATCTAGCTTAAATTCTATGCACCATGTTTTCGATTACCTTCTACAAAATTAATTAAACTATATGTTATCAACCAAACGTTGACACTTCCTAGCTTTCAGTGCACAACCTAAGTGTAACTTTCATTTAATGCTCAATTAATTTAAACCATACAAGAAACAAAAAAACTGTTGCAAATTACTTGCTGGCTACAGTGACCTAAAATGCAATAAAAAATTTGGAGTGACCGATGTTTCAATATCCCAACAGAATCTTTCTCGAAGGCGCAAAGACTAATTGCAAACTCGACTCGACGCAGAGAGTGGGTAGGGTTAACTTTGAATCAACATTGTGTCCGTGTTTGAGTCTGTCGCAGTGTGGCATTTCCATAATCACTGTTCAGTTGATTCACACACTTTGAAAAAGCGAACACAAATGCCAAACTGTGACATCTGATAATATACTCATGCTGTGAATTTGCACAAGTTACATCTAAATTCATCAAAATTTACTGCAAATATTCTTTAACGTAAAAATTCCCTTTGTTTTCTGTTTCTTTACATCAATGTATAAAGTATATAGAGGGTGTCCATAAAAGTTACTATCATGGCAAAACTACTTTATATATGGGAAAGAGAAATGAATCTTTAGAAAGGGCAGAATGTCCTCTTTGCAATAGTGTACAGCTTGTAATGTTACTGACAAAGACAAGTGAACAAATTAGACCGATGTTAAGGGTACTGAAATCGGCACTGTAACAAGTTTGTATATTCGATTAAAAAGGCTCATACGTGCAAGTGTGCAGAGTACCAAATGCCTTTGCTTTAAGAACACATTCTTGGAAACAAGGCATGTATCTTAATCAATCTAATCTGCTTTTTTTTTTTACTTACCTTGTAAGTTTAATGTGCTGTGTCGTCCACGTTTCCTTTTTGTGGGGATACGTGCAGAATAAGTTTTCACCACGCCCCCAGTCAGTGTTCAGGAGTACGTGCAAGAATAGTGGAAGAAATCTACAGGCTTAATCTCCATCAGGACCCAGCACTGATCAGACTTACAACAAAGGGACATGTTACGAAGATGTCAGATGTGCATTGACAGGAATGGTGGCCATGTGGTTGGCAAAGCATATTAAACTTACTTATCACAGTGCCGATTTCGGTACCCTTGACATTGGTCTAGTATGTTCACTCATCAGGGTGATGTAATGCTTCTTGTACAGTAGTGTAGCTGTAATCAGCTTTGCATTCCCCACTCTCTACCCTTAGCTGCTTCCACTGGCTCGTCTCATTTCGGGGCCAAAAAGAACCCGAGTGCGTAAGTCTCCCCTGCCAGTACACAGCTTCCCCACCACCAGGATTCCTACGGTGCCTCAGGCCTTGTAGCAGCAAATGGTAACTGGGCATCCTGCAACCCCAGGCTGAACTGAAAGGGGTCTCAGAGTTTTGTCGTGGTCCCCAAAAGGCACAGTGCACAGGCCCTGGCGCCGTGCAAACCAATGCACCAGCTATGGGTCAAATAGCCTTCCAGCACCCATTTGAAGACCCCAATGGCGGAATAGGGGGACAAAGATCAACAAGTTCTCAACGGCTAAACCAGCGGGAGAAGGCAACGCCAGTCAGGCCGGAGTAGACGGCATTTGACCAAGCACCCAGCAGGCCGATGCAACCAGGATCGCCAGATATCGCCTGTCTCAATTCTTTGAGCCGCGAGGGAGGCACTTCTGGCCAAGTGTGTTGGTTTCTCCGTCACGCAAAGTTGTCCACCTAAATCAAATCCACGCGAATGGTCTCCTCAATTCCTCGTCGTCTTCCCATTAGCAAGTTCAGTGGCAATGGCCCTGCGAGCAACAGGTCAGGTTTGGTCAGCTGGAAGCCCTTAGTCCGCGCCAACACGCTGGCAGCGTGTTCATGATGGTTGTCCTCCTCGTGACATGCGATGACACACGGCAGTAGGACTTGCGACTGAACTGGCCTATTCAGGATTCCCGGAGCCTTCCCCAAGTGGGGAAGCCCCCAGAGAAAGTGGGGTAAACATAGCTCATCGCGAACCCACCTAGCCGGCTATAACCATGGCTAGCAAGTGACCCTTTCAGGCGGTCGAAACCCAAGATGTCACACTAATAAAAAAAAACCTCAGTTACCTTTTAACCCCTTGACTATTGGAGCATTGTTGGACAACAGGAACTTAGAACACCCTGAGAGAAGAACAGCACTTGTATGTCACAAGTAGGCACGTTTTAACATCAATCGATGTGGCTGCTCTGAATGAAACTAGACTCCCCGGCAAAGGAAGCGTCAGAGAAACTGGATCCCATATATACTTATCTGAGAAGACGCCCGTACTGTGGTGGCATCGCACTCACACCCACATTCCTGATCTTGAGATGTACGTGCATTTGGCAAATCGCAACACCCTATTGCATGGTCAATGTGGCATGTCATCACACGTGCGTGCTACCTATTTACCTACGTTGTGCCACCGCAGTAACGGCTTCTAATTCTGGTTCTCGAATTACACTATATGATCTTTTGGAAGGGGAAAGAGGCAAGTGAGCAAAGCATCCATGGTTTGGCTTTGCTGTGAAGACCAAACTTGTGGAGCACCACCACCTCAATCCCACTGCCATGAACAAACGCTTGACGACCCTCCGGATTCCACTCAACAATGGCACCATTTTGACTCTCATCTCCGTCTACACACTTACCCTTGTCTCTGGCAATGCCATCAAAGAGTCTTTTTACAACCTTTTGAATTTAACAATCCTTACCATCCCAGCATCCTGGTTCTCGGCAGAGTTGGCCATGACCACCTTACACGGAAAGGCATCCTGGGTCGCCATGGTATTGGCAACTGCAACGCAAACGGATATCTGCTTCTCGGCCACTGTGCATAACATGGCTTGACCGAGACAAACACCCTGTTCCAACTTCCGAATCGGCACAAAACATGGCAGCACCCAAGATCCAAGCAAAGGCTTGTCTTGTACCATGTCCTCATCCGATCCCGAGACAAAAGTGATGTCCATATCACCCGTACCATGCCAGTAGCAGATGATTGTTGGACAGACCACCATCTTATTCTGCTCTTACGCTTTGATTTGTCTGTTCGCGACCACCTAGACGTCCAGCTGCAGCCAAGCCCCAGCGATGATTTGACTGTGTGAAGCTCCAGGACCCACCAATATGGCAGCTATTTCAACAGTACCAGTTGAAAAAGAGAACATTAGAGGAAAATGGTCAACTCTGCCAGATGCATTGACATCAGTGTAATACTGTATGATAGGCACCACATACGATCAAAGGTCAAGAAGTGTATGGTGTGACATATGCTAATGAGCATAAGACATTAATTATCAGCACAGAGCTAGACTGCCGCAGTCACACAATGTCCACTTGACCTAGACTATATTCGGTATATATTCAGCATGTTCAGATGGTACCATTGATGTTCAGTTATTTTCAGCCGGGCTAGGTAGGCTCGCTGTTGAACGTAAACTCCCGTATCCAAATGGAAGCTGTTGATCCTACAGTATTTGACTTTACACAGAAATCGAAGGTGGCCTTGGCCGAAATCAATGCCAGGCGAAATGAAGAATATAACCCCTGACCCTTACGTCATATCTGTGGGGGACGCCTGACCTAAGATTTTTATCAAGAGTCCTCAGAGGATCTCCGGGTCGGGAACAGATTAAGACTGCCACACACATATGTGTCCAGCTGCCGTAGTAACCAACAGTCAAATACTACACGTACTTTGGTGACAGACATGGGATCTACTGAGCACCAAACCGCTCGGTAATCCCCGGTGTACGGTGATTAAAATTGCATTTACCGTGATAATTCTGTCGATTTTGTAGGTGTAATGACTGCACATCTGTCACGATGAACACGTTAACTCCGCCGTCGCTCCCATCATTCCCGGAGAGTAGAGAGCCCACCAACGTCGGAACTCGTCGGTCAAAATACATTAAAAGACTGAAAACGTTTTCATTGGCTTCAATATCACCAGTGACGCTCAGAAGCGGGCACTTCTGTTTCTTTATGCAAGGGGAGAAGTCAACGACACTGGCACAAACGGGGCGAGAGCACAAAAAAGCCCTGAACGAGCACTTCAACCTATGCAAGAACATCGAGTTTGAAAGATACACATTCTTGCAAGCCAAACAGGACCTTACGGAGACTGTTGCACAATATCATACACATTACTCCAGCGTCTACCAATCACCGTGCTTTTGAAAACAAAGATGCAGAGGTGAAATCGCAGATCATCTGGACTTGCCTTTCCAACAAGTTGCATCGGTATGCCTTGCATGAACCACCCCTCACTCTTGTGCAGCTGCTCACTGCAGCTCAAAACTGTCAAGCTGCCAAAATGGAGCAATCTCCAACTGTAAATAAAGCTGATGTGAGACCACCAAAACAAGCTGATGCCTCGCGTCCTTCCTGTGCCACTCGCCCCCGCTCTGCAAAACGTCAGCCTCACAACGACAAACCTCAGCAATTAAGACAGCAGCACTGGCAGTCGCAACCACATTCACGTCAATGCCATACCTGCGGGGCTGTTCTCCACATAACAGATTAACAGAGACAGGCGTACGTGCCATGAATGAGGTACACCAAATTACTTTGCCAAATATTGCATGAGCACACCATGACCCCCACAAAGATGCAGTGTTCATGAAATCAATGCCA